CTGGAAGAGACAGAGGGAAAATTGAGAACCTCAAAGGAGACCAGGAGAACATGGGGATGCACAGCAACGTGGCTTGTCACACCTCAGCCTCCTCCAGCGCTGCTTGAAGTTCCAGCTTCTCAGCATCCAGCTGCTTCCGGACCTTCTCCAACTCATGGATGGTCTTGTGGCTGCCACCCAGCTGCTCCGTGAGGTCCGAAATCTCCTCTGCTCATGTGAGATCCCATAAGACTTTGTAAAGATGTTGGAGAACAAGTTGGGCATGGGGAGGACCATGGTCTTACCTTGGAGGTTCTTGTTCTCCCTTTTGAAGGTCTCCAGGTGCTCAAGCGACTCCTCATAGGCATTCTTCAGTTTGAAGAGCTCAGTGCTAAGGGATCTGGCCTCTTTCTGCGATGCCTCCAGCTCCATCTGTGACTCTTCGAACTTCTGCTTCCACTCAGCCAATATCTGGGCCCAAGCAAGTGGTCACCCTCTGTCCCCATGTCCCCCATCTGCTGTGTCTCACCACCATGTCCTCTCACCTTGTCGAAGTTCCTCTGCTTCTTGTCCAAGGCAGCAGCTGCTGCATTCGACCGCTCCACATCTGCCATCAGGTCCTCAATCTCATTCTGCAGCCGGTGCTTGGTCTTCTCTAGAGAGGAACACTTGGCATTGACCGCCTCCACTGCCTCCTCAGCCTCCTGCAGCCGTTGGGCCAGCTTCTTCCTGTCCCGGGGGACAACCTGGCTGTGGTGACCCGTGGACCAACTCAAACCTTCTTCCACCCATCAGCTGGCCAAGGCTCTGCTCTGGATCTCCTCTGCTATCTCCAGGTCCCTCTACCTTCTCCAGATCCTTCTACAGTGGAAGAGTCTCTGCTCTCCTCTGCCCCCTAGAAGCTCCCTTCATGGGGGGATGACTTACTTGGCTTCCTCGAGTTCCTCAGTGCGCTGGATGGCATCTGTCTCATACTTGGTCCTCCACTGTGCCACCTCAGAGTTGGCCTTGGAGAGCGAGCGCTGGAGTTCAGCCTTGGCTTCTGTCTCCTCCTCATATTGCTCCCGCAGCAGGTCACAGTCATGCCGGGCTGACTGGAGGGTGTGGGCCAGTGCATTCTTGGCCTGGGAGAGAGAAGTGAGAAGAAAGTGAGCTTAAGCTACATCTAGGTCCTCAAACTGTGTAAGCCCAACCTCCTCTAGACCATCCCAACCAAATTCAGCACCTCTAGACCCATAGAGATCTAAAGATGGGTATCTCTAGTTTGGCCCAGTTCAACTTTACCTGGTCCAATGGCACCCAACCACCCATAGACCAACCCAGGTGCCTCACAATTGGCATGCTCAGTCCACCCTATCAGCTATTAGAACAAATGTAACCCAACTCAACCATGGAACCATAGATGGAACCACCCAACTGAACCAGCCTGAACTTGCTTTTTTTTGGTGCTACCACCATGAGGGTGAAGGACACCTTGTCTTGTCACCCTCCTGGAGACCCTCTCAGCCACCTCACAAACCTCACCTTCATCTCCTCCTCCAGCTGCCTCTTCAGGTCCTCCAGCTGCTGGGTGTATGACTGCTTGCCCCTGGTTAGTTGGGAGACAAGGGCCTCCTTCTCCTCCAGTTGGCGGGACAGCTCTCCTGCAGAGGTAGGAGAGGTTTTCAGGTGTGTGGAAGGGAGTGAAGATGTGAGTCAGGGGCTGAAGATGTGGGATGGGTGGTGTGGTGGGTCAGGGTTCCCACCATTCTCGGTCTGGAGCTTAGCCCGTTGGGTGCTGGTGTCATTGAGGACTCGTTGGGTCTCCTCCAGCTTGGCCCGGTGTTCAGCTGCCTGGTCCTCCATGGTGCGAGAGACCTTCTCCATGCCCACCTTGGAGGAGGAAAGGATGGAGGGGAGTGATGAAGCAGGAGGATGATGCCCAGGGTGGAGATGAGGTGTCCACCTTGGCCTCCTTCTACCTTGGCCTTGATCAGCTGCTCCATGTTGGAGCTGAGGTCATCCAGCTCCAGCTTGAGCTCACTCTTCTCCTTCTCCA